AAGAAAAAACCTACTGTAATAAATTATAATTCCAAATATGAGCATTAAAAAAAAATCAAAGTAAAGTGATAAATGATTATGAGCTTTAGGTAAAATAAATAAAATATTAAATGGACTTATTATATGAAGCTAATTGAATTCCAATTCATTATTATTCGCCTATTCCACTATGTACAATTCAGATTAGCTTTGGTACCAAAGAATTACCATAAAAGCGCGATTAAGGTAAAATTTAATTTTGTGCTATTTTTTACAAGGTGTTTAATTAGAAAAATCTTAAATCTTTTGTAAATTTACGAATGGAACACAATTAAATAGAACTGAAATCAGGAAATTTTTATGTAGTCAAGAAACTTGTTAAAATTATTCAGATTTTCAGTGTATAGTGACAGAAGTTGTGTTTAAAATTTCTTATATTTTTTCTTGTCTTAAATATCTTTAATTAATCACTTTCCATTGTTTATACTTAATTGCCTTATTATAATCGTGAAGTATAAAATTTATTTCTTAAAATTTTATTTTGTTATTTATAAAAATACAAAATTATTCCTATGTATGAATTTTTATCACAAGGAACTGGTTTTAAATTTTGATCCTTGTTTTATCTATTATTATGGTAGTTTTCATGCATTATAGATTGTTACCAAATCCCTGTTCCACTTTTTTCTTAAAAGTTTTTGAAAGAACTGCTTGCATAAGAGATTTTGCCTCCTTATTCATACTATCTTTATTTTTGCTTAATTCTTAGATATTCTTAGAAAGCCAATTTTTAAGGTCCGAAATTCATACCAGTATTGAAAGTAAAATGAATTGTCACTCAACGATTGTCAACACCGAAGCACTCGATAACTGTAAATTAATTCAATTTATTAACAATAAAATTATAACAAAAATAAAAATGTAAAAGAAAATTTTTCACAAAAAATGTTATGCTTAATTTAAAAATCTTTAACGATATTAAATAGCTAGTCCAAAAAAATTGTAAGAAAATGTTGAGGATTCAATGGTGAAATTGAATCAATAATTAAAATTTAATTTAAAAATTTCGTTAAAAATAATTTTTTAATAATTGAAAATATAAGTGTTTATTATAATAAAAGTAAACACAAATAAAACACAAGTATTAGAAAATTAAATTAATTTGTAAATTACTAAAAGGTGGTAAAAATGTTGTGAATACGATAAAAAATATTTACGTATAAAAGATTACAGCTATAATATGATAAATCGTTTAAGAACGTAGAATAAAGCTCATTTGACATAACGCTCGATGAAGAAACCGACTGAATTTGAGTTCTTCGTGCCAACAGGAATTAAATAGTGATATATGTTTGGTTCGCAAACCTTTTTGGAAAATCACCAATTTATGGGATTCGAAAAAATTTTTAGTAGAGCAGCACATCAAATACGGTCAAGAAGATAAATGAGAATACGTAATTTAAAAGTTCTTTAAAATGTTCAATTTTTGATCTTGTTTCAAGTCCAGCAATCATGTAGCATATTTTTACAATTAAGAGTTTTAAATTAATAATACAAAAATTATTTTTTTTTTTCAATAAGTATATATAATGTATTTAGTTCTCGTTCAGGCTACCAAAGACTATCTTTGGCTAACTGCCAAATTTTTCTTCCATAATTTTTAAATAAAACTTGTTTTTTTGTGAATAAATAGAAATGTTTATGTGTATCCGAGAAATGTGTGCAATTAGTAAATGTATGTATGAACAAGTGTACATTTATTATGTACCTAATCTACATATATACAAACGTTCACTTCTATACATAAAAATTTTTCTTATATTTTTAAATTTCTTTTTAAAACATTTAAACTCAGTTTGAAATAATAATGATTTTTTTTTAATGCTCATATTTGAAATTATAAAAACGATTTTTACTTTTATTTTAGTTCAGAATTGGAATTATTGCGAAATAATTTTCTTAAAATAATAATGACATTAATAATATAATATATGTATCTATATCTGCAAATACCATGGTTTTCATCAAAGATGTTTTAAATGTCCGTCGTAACTCGTAACCGATTAACTGTTTTAGGAAATAACACTAAAATGGATTTGACATAATAAAATGCAATATTTTTTGAATAAGTATGATTTTCTTTTTATAAATTAAAAGAAGAGATGCAAACCTAATTATTATTTAATAATAATAAATATTTATAATACACACATAATTTTATGGAGGATAAAATCAAATAAATAAAAAATAATAATTTAGACACATTTCCAGTTTACATATTATAGTTTGCATTATAAAATACACAATAATCATTTGGAATCACAATCTTTTAGTAATTAATATTGTAAACTGAAAATTAATTTAATTATAAATATTTAAAGTACAGTCCACAAATTACATATTAGTGGATTACATCCAAAGACCAATTAATTAGTTTTAGAAAAAGATAATATTAAAGGTAATTGTAATAAAGTTGGGTCAAACCAATGGTTCGTATAATGTAACATTATTCCCTCCAATTAAATAAGTAAATAAAGTATTGAAAATAGTTTCATTAATATACGAATGTATTTCAAAGATTGCATATACATACTCGTATTTAGAATGAGAAATGTATCCATTCCTTGAAATAAAACAAAAAAAAAATTTAAGGGGCGTTGACATAATGCTCGAATTTAAGGGTTAATTACCCAGTTAGGAAAAATAATCATATTTTTTTTTAGACCCTATACTGTAAAAGTCTGAAACTTTAACAGCTTTTAGACACTAATAAATAGTTCCTTTCCTTATCGTTTCAAGTTATTCGTATGTTCTTGCTCAGCGTAAAATTCTGCGTTGATTTAGACATTTCCGTCAGTCCGATCGCACGATAACTCAAAAACGAACAATGCAATCGACACCAAATTTTCACAAGTTATTTCTTTTCTGCCAAGTACAACTGCAATTATACAAGGGGCTCGGATAGCTGCCATACAACTCAAAAAGGTTGCTTTGACAATTTCTAAAACTAATTGCGATATTGATATCAAATTTTGTGTCTTCAATTATATTTTACATATGTTCCTAAAATTTTAATGGAATGACTGCACTGGTTCGAGTAGCTGCCATGTGTCCAATTGCAAGTCCGATATATCCTCGAAGTTTTGATGGAGTAGCTTAATAGGTTCGGGTACCTGCCACACAACTCCAACAGCAAAATTAAAATATTCAAAAAAGTAATGAAGTTAGATTCATGACACTTGGCAGTATTGTATATGTCTAATTATAGGTCACACATATCCGTGAAGTTTCTAAAGAGTGGTTTGACAGGTGCGAAAATTGGTATACAACAAAAAAGATATTTCAAGGTGGGAGTAATAATTCGGTCGGTTTATACTGACTGAAACGTTTTTACTTGTTATTTTTATCACTTGTTCAATGTTATTTATTTTTATCACTTTGTTCAAAATACCAAAATTTTGTGATAACAGTCTCAATCGCCAAAGTTATGACAATCGCCAAAAATACTTGTAACAAAAGTTTTTATCTCGTCATAGACTATCGCATCATAATCGTAAGAAGATAATTTCTTCGAGAACGGTCTACTATATTTTCTAAAATAATTGAACAAAATTCAATTAGACTTGTTTATATTGAAAATATTTAAAATATTTTGATTTTTGCAAATAAATTGAATAAATTTGGATGTTATAAACATAAGCATGTTTGAAGGCTAAGATGATATATAAATAGATGTACAAACATTATATACGCATTTGATTTTCAAAATAAAGATTTAAAATTTTTCAATTTTATCTCAAAACATTATTAAGTGTTACAATTCCTTTTAGAGCATAAAATATTTAATTAAGTATAGTACCCACATTACTGATTTTTTACATACTGTAAATTTTTATTTAAAGACAAAAATAACGTTTCTTAAAAATTAGACGTGAAACCAAAAAAACAAATGATAAATGAGTTTTTAACCTTAACATAGACATATTTGTTTAGCTGGTGTAGAATAAGACAAAGTATTTATTTTCACTGAATATATCGTAAATTACAAAATGATATAAAACGTAAAAAAACTTTGCATAAAAAACCGCACAAATTAATTTAAACTTTAAGTTTTGAACTGTGTCAATATCTCAACTAATTAAAATAATAAAGAATGTCAATACTAAAGACGATGGAAAGTTAATTAGAGTTCATAATAATTCTAAGGTTTTCTATACACACATACTTTTAATCACTTTTTCTATAAAAAGTACCTGATTCTAAATGAATTTTATAGCCCAATACTTTAATTAAATTTTACGTTAAAATTTTGTTATAGAATTTCCAGGTTTTGGATGAGACATAACATAAATCCAACACTATAACTTCAATATTATTAGAATTTGAAATTTATTGAGTTAAAAAAAATCTGCAGAAAACGTCATTTAAAAAATATGTCATATATTTAACTATCGAGTAATGTATGAAAAGAAATTCTTAATTTAACTCTTTCTGTCGTATGCACAAAACTGAATATTTTGTTACGCATGTTACATCTAGTCTTTTGCTGTGAACCGTGTATTTAACCTTAAATACCTTAAATTGAAAATGACAGTTTTAGAAGCGTCACATAAAAATTTATACGTCAAACAAATGTACATTCAAGTAAAATTTTTTATATGTATGTGAACTTTAAGTTCCTGCAACTAGGTAAAATTTCCTTGTTAAAAAAAAATTTGTGTAATAATAGGGGAATTGAATAAATTAAAAAACGGTAACATTTTCTCAGAGAGATACATATACGATCTCATTTTTCAATAACTTCTGATTTCAAAATAATACGTACATCTGCATTAACTTTACATGATATGTGAAATTTTAATTAAAATGAATTAATTGTAATGTTTTGCTAATAATAATACAAAAGTCAGGTACATTTCTGAAAAGCTCTTCTCAGATTATTCTTAAAATGGAATTTTTCTTCCATATACATACATATATATTTTTTTAATTGAATTGAAATAATTTTTTTAATTTCATAGGTGGAGATGAACCGGTTGGCGCTCAAATACCTTCAATGTTCCTTAATTTTATTGGCTCTGATATTGATTGGCGATATAATACGGAACCAGAGACAAATGCATGTTTAAATTCTCCTGAACAAAGGTTAACAAATTTTATTTTTAAATAATCATTTTACTTTTTATTAACAAAAGTTTTTAAAATATAAGATGTTACTGGCCGAGAGGAAAAGTATTAGGTGGTACATCCGTACTTAACGGAATGATGTATATTCGTGGTAATCGTGAAGATTATGATGAGTGGGAAGCCATGGGTAACCCAGGATGGAAATATGATGATGTGTTACCATTTTTTAAAATGTCAGAAAATAATTTAAATATCGATGAAGTTGGATCAAAATATCATGCAACTGGAGGTCCATTACCTGTTGGTAAATTTCCCTATAATCCACCAATGTCATATGCAATATTAAAAGCTGGTCAAGAACTTGGTAAATATATATATATATATTGATTAATAGATAAAATACAAAATATATTAAATTCACATAATATAAAAGGTTTCAACGTGCAAGATTTAAATGGTGATAACGCAACAGGGTTCATGATAGCACAAATGACATCACGTAATGGTATACGTTACAGCTCAGCAAGATCATTTTTACGTCCAGCACGTGATCGTTCAAATCTTCAAATTTTGTTAAATACAACAGTGACAAAAGTTCTTATAAATCCACAATCAAAAACTGCTCATGGTGTAGAAGTGATTGATCAATATGGCAGTACAAGAAAAATTCTTGTTAAAAAGGAAGTAATTATCAGCGGTGGTGCAGTAAATTCTCCACAAATTTTATTATTGAGCGGTGTGGGTCCAGCTGAAGATCTACAAAAAGTGAGTCAAAATTTGATCAATTATGTATAAATTTTTTTTAAGTTTCACATATAAACTCTCATGTTACTGGATTACTAGAAAACAAATAAAAATTTTTTAATTATTACACCAATTTTAGGTTGGTATAAGGCCAGTTCACAATTTGCCTGGCGTTGGAAAAAATCTTCAAAATCATGTAGCATATTTTACAAATTTCTTTGTTGATGATGCTGACACAAGACCACTCAATTGGGCCACTGCAATGGAATATTTACTTTTTCGTGATGGTTTAATGTCAGGTACAGGAATATCAGATGTTACTGCAAAAATCTCTAGTACACTAGCTGATCCACCAAATTCTCCTGATTTACAATTTTACTTTGGGGGGTATTTAGCTGATTGTGCTAAAACTGGACAAGTTGGTGAATTATCAACGAATGGCAGTAGAGCAGTACAAATATTTCCAGCTGTTTTACGGCCAAAGAGCCGTGGTTATATTACATTAGCGTCAAATGATCCTCTAGCACCACCAAAAATATTTGCAAATTATTTAACGAATAGCGATGACGTTAAAACTTTGATTGAAGGTAAAGGTGTCTTGATAAGGTTTAAAAATCTGATTTTCAGTCTCATATCCAAAAAACAAAACATACAATTTTTCAATTTCGATTTAAATGACTTATCTATTTCTGTTTTTCTTAAAATTTTATACAGGAATCAAAATTGCAATAAGAATTTCTGAAACTGCTGCTATGAAACCTTATGGTATTAGATTAGATACAACACCAGTACCTGGTTGCGAAAATATACGTTTTGGTACAGATGAATACTGGACATGTGCTGTAATGAGAAATACTGGACCTGAAAATCATCAAGCTGGTTCATGTAAAATGGGTCCAGCAACTGATCCACTAGCTGTTGTTGACCATGAATTGCGTGTCCGAGGTATACGTAATTTAAGGATAATGGATACGTCAATTATGCCAAAAGTAACATCTGGGAATACACATGGACCAGCAGTTATGATTGCAGATAAAGGTGTCCATCATGTGAAACGAGCATGGGGTGCTTTAGTGAATCCAAACGATAATGTTCTAAGCTATTATAATCAACAACCTCAGCAACAAGATCAATATCATCATCAAGGTTTCCATAATCATCAAGGATATTAATTAAAAAATTTTGTCGCCGCATTCATATCTCTTTTTTTTAGAAATTCATATAAAATCTTCCCTTCTATTTTTAATTATATTTTTTTTATTTAAACTTTCGAAATATTTTCTCTTTTGGTAACCTAAAAATTTTTTTCCAAATTTTTACAACATTTAAAAATTGTCTTGTATTTTAATATCCGCCTCGCAAAATTCGAGCAGCATAATAATGTTAGGTATCCTACAATATTAATGTTACCAAATTAAAATACCATATTCTTCATTTGCGAATTTCGATAAGTAAAAGATAAAGTAATTTTTTTCTAACAAAGAAAAGAAAAGCTGAGAAGATTGTATTAGATTTAGTTTATATATATATATGTACATCTAGAAGCTTTAAGTTTTTTATAATTTTAGTTTAATTTAATTTACATCATATAAAACAATATTATAAAATATCACCATGTTATAATTTTATAAATAAAATAAATTTTAAATATAAACAATTTTCTTATTTTAATCGTGAAAATAACTACATGTTTTGAAATTAAAACTGCTAAAAGATTTTATTTTAACTTTGTTTATAACACAAAATTTTTAGTACAAATAAAGAAATTGTTTTTGGAACTTCATATTCTTTCTGCGGAACAAACACATGAATATAGATAGATCCAATTGAAGATGAGAACAAAGCAAGTAGGCAGGCGTGTTGCTTGGTTGTGTAAATTTGTGCGGTTTTACTGTAATACTCAAAAGTATTTTGCTAATTGTCTTTTACCGTTTTTAATTGACTTAAATCTTGAATTATAAGCGATTGAATGAATAGATTGCACATTATTTTACGTAACACACGTAACAAATAGGCCTTAATATAATATGATAAGTTGCAGATCTAATTTCAATCTGTGTTTTGTGGTTAATTTTCGTTGTCTTTTTATATCATAGTTGATACTAATCGTGTAAAGACTGTTCAAATGCTTTTCTTTTCTTCCCCTCTTCGTTGGGTCGTAGTATGACCTTTTTATCTGGTCGCCTATGGGAGGAGGTTCCGCTTGTAAGATTTGATGTACCTAAACATAAGTTAAGAAAGTTTGCTTTTTACTTCATGCAATTAATATTAAAAAGCAATGTGGAGATTTATTACTCTTTTATTACTTTTTGGCCTACATATCTCAATACTTCAACTACAGTTACATGAAAATATTTTTTGTTGTTTTACATTTTAAATTTCCGCTCAAGGAAAAAACTTACATCATTAACTGTACTGTCATATCCTTTACTTTTCCTTAGTTTTATTAGAATAAATTAGTGTTTGACACACTTTAATTAAAACGCACCTTAAATTTAATTTAAAATTTATTTTCAATGTTCTATTCTTAATTGATTTCTGATTTTTATTCAATTTTGTTATTTCAAAATCTGAAAACAATATTTAAACTCTATGCTATTTTTCTATTTATATTACATATTTTAGGTGCACCTCCTTTTGGAATATTAAAACAATTATATTTTTGGTTTATTTCTCGCGTCGACAATAGATCTTATCATTAAGCATTTTCCCTTTAAATATGCTCTCAAACAAGCATTTTTTTCGTTATCTAAAAACTTTCATAAAATTAATATCTTATTACATACATACTTAATAAGTATATTTAAGTATTTAATAATGTATTTTAATACCTCCTTCTTTTTGGCATACTTCTACTGAATCGCCAGTAGCCGGCCACATTAACTTTACAATTTGATTTCTATCAAGGTTTCCTTCTTTAATTATCCCAGTTCTTTCATATAAGCATCTGATAAAGCACTGGAATATTGATAAACTTAAATCAATTAAAGTATAGAATCATATTGAGTTATATAGAACTTTTTGTTTAATCTTTGGCACACTGTTTAAATTTATTAGCGATAATTCAATATGCACTTATAATATTGTTCATTTACAATATGCTTGTGCTATTAAAATTTTAAACGCTTTTGTTCGTTTTGTATTAAAATATTTTAATAGCCTTGTTATGTAAATTTCTATATATCTAATAAGTATTGTGTAAACTAAGATGTGTATATTGATTTTACATTTCCAGTTTTTTATTTTTTTTTTCTTACCATTGGAGTTTTATCAGTTTCATCCGGAAACTCTGCTGTGGAATTGAAAGCTTCCAAAAAATCTTAAATTATTCGAAACGTTAGTAACTTATAGCATATAATATATACATTTATTTCTTTTTAAAATGAATTAAAAATTAGTCTCTATCCTTATTCTAATATACATAAAGTCAAAAAATTAGAATAAAAGCAAAATATTTATGCAAATTAATTTTTATTTTAATTAACAAATATTCAATTAAATTTTTCAAATCTTACCGATTGTAATCTTATAGCTATCATTGCAAGAGCTAACAATATTATCAATATTTAATTCCTCAGTGTCAAAACTTGTATCATGAACTTCATCATTTCGTAATTGATGTTTAGTGCGGGCAAATATTCCTTTTTCTTGTACCTTCAAATTATGTAAAGCCGCTTGATTTATATTTGAATTTAACAAAATTAAAAAATAAATCTCAGCAAGAAAGTAAGCAAAACCTTGAAAAATTAACATCTTAACAATTCTGCAACAAAAGATCAAATATCGAAAAGTACATTGGTACACAGTTAGGTCATACCACAAATGCAGTTTGAATTTTGAAATTTTGCCTTTTAATAGCACATTTATTCTGTTCTTCATTAATCTATTCTACTTCCTTACCTAATTATACAATTATTATACATAAAACATGCATAAGTAAGTTTAATTCAAAACAAATAACCGCGTAAATCTACATTCTATTAATTATTTTACCTTTAAAGTACCTGCCCATATACATATGTACACATATACATACATACATGTTTATTTTACATAAATTGCGTTTGAAATACAAATTATAAATTCGTTCAAAATTATTTTAATACAAAATGTATACATATTAATTTTTGCCATTATTATAATTATACAATTACAATAATTAATAATATCTAAAATACAATACTGAAACATGCAATTTGTAATACAAAAGATTAACAAGCCTAGATTCTTTCTAAATAAATATACGTACATATATATTTATGTACGTATTATGTATGAATGCATGAATGTTTGCTGGATATTTGGAAAAAATAAGTAGTTAAAATATATAATACATAAATTTAGCCAAAATCTTTTAGAAACATTGCTTTCGGTTATTAGAAGTAGAAACTCATGGAATAATGATCCCACTGTAGGACAATTCATGTCTGCCTATATAAGAGATTTTTGATTCACAATGAAATTAAGCTCAAGGGAAGCAACGAAAGCACAACGGAAGCAAACTGTGAAGAACAGATCAGATGTTAGTATTTTGACAGTCTCTTAAAATACTCTTTAAAATAAATTATGCGAGGAACATAGGATATTTTTGTTATCTCAAGATGAATGCATATACAAGTAAGATGTGCAAATTAATAACAGTACCTGAAATTTTTTCAAACTAAATTTTTCATTTTTTATGAAGCTGTTGTAAGGCTGAAATATTTTAAATTTTTTTTTTGTTATATTGAAATGAAACTATTAGTATAAAAACCAAAATTTATACTACTAAATACATATCTGTGTTTATGTTGAAATTTTCCAACACAGAATTTTTCAACATACTGCTATTATTTTGCACGCAGTTGAACATGTGTAAATGTGTAAGTATGTATATTAGAATCCGGCATTCTGGAAAATCAAAGATATTTTCTAATGAATTTAATTATTAATTTATTAAAAAAATAAAACAGAACTTCTAAATAAATCTAGGTTTAATAAGTTACTATATATGTATGTATGTATTATCTTTTGGCTTAATTTGGCTTATAACAAATATTTTATTTTATTTTGCATTTATTATTTAAAATCAGTTTATTCATATCGATCCTCGTAAATAACACTGTAAATTCTCTATAAATATTCATTCTTATCTACACATGTACATGCTACATGTATTATAATATTCTTTTAGAGAATCGATTCTAGTAGACTGATTCCAAATTTTTAATTATGTATGTTAAAATAGTGAATTGTCAAAAACATCTAATTTTCCAAATTATAAAAAAAAGTTTAATTCAAAATTCAATCCAAATGTTAAAGGTACATTCATAATTCAATTATTTTTAAATAAAATTGCATTAACACTTTAAAACTTCTCTTGAAGTTTAATTGCTAAAATATTAAAGATGAGAATACGACAAGCTACAAGTACTTCAAAAAAGTCAAAAAAATCTGCTAATTTGCAAAAGTAATCATCTTTGGACTTTTTGAACAGACATTTGCTTACTGGGTGAAAAATTTAACTGTCAAGATTGTCAAGTATGTTTATTATATTAAAAAATCAAAACAAACTCCATGTGATTTAAAATTTTAAAACTAAAATTATTATTTCGTAAATTACTAATGAAGCACATTTTTGAAATTAATGACGATTGGGATGATAATACAGAACTTTCAAAATTTGAAACCAAAAAGTCAAAACAAAGACTAGAGAAATTGGAAAAAAACGATGAAGTAAAAAAAACCCAAACTGAGTCAGGGAAGTCAAAGAATAGAAAAGTTAAGATAAAAAAACATTTGTTAGAAAACCAAGTAAAATCTATAACTACGAATGGTTGCGATTTGCCTGTTGTTAATTTGCAAACAGAACCAAAAAACAAAAAGAAGAAAAAGTTGGCAATTGAAAAATTTGACGGAAACTGTAAATTTACGCCTCTTTTACGTAAAAATGTAATTTCTGAAGATAATTCTATGATTGACAATGAAATCTGTGTTGAAAAAAAAAAATCTAAAAAACGAAAACTTGATCATCTTGATAATGGCGATATGGTCAAGAAGCAAAAAATTGCAACGGCTACAAAATTAGATGATGGTCCTTTGAAGAAAAATTCTTTAAATAAAAATTTGCCAACCAGTAGTTTCGCTAATAAGCTAAGAGATAATCTTCTTGGTGGTCGATTTCGTTTTTTGAATGAATTGTTATATACAACGACAGGAAGTAAAGCTAAAGAAATGTTTGAACAAGATAGAGAAGCCTTCAAGGCCTATCATAAAGGATATCGACAACAAATTGAAAAATGGCCATTTAATCCATTAGATCGCATAATTAAACGCGTTCGAAAATTACCAAAACATATGATTGTTGCTGATTTTGGATGCGGCGAGGCGAAATTGGCAGAATCTGTTCCTCATAAGTGCTTTTCAATTGATTTTATCAGTTCTAAACCTCATGTTATAGCATGCGATATGGCTAACACACCACTAAAATCACAAAGTATAGATATTGTAATATTTTGTTTGTCTTTAATGGGGACTAATTTAAATGATTTTATTTGTGAGGCTAACAGAATCCTGAAATCGGATGGCATAGTGTATGTTGCAGAAATAGGGTCCAGATTTGAGAACGTTAAAGATTTCAAGAGCCTGTGGGAACATTTTGGGTTTGAACTTTTGCGTCAAGATGTGGATAAAAAAAAATATTTTTACTTTTTTGATTTCAAAAAAATTGAAAATGTTAAGAAAAATGTTTTAAGCATATCTAATTGTAAATTAAAACCCTGTATATATAAAAAACGTTAAATACCCGAATAAATGTATATTAATAAAATATTTGCAAGTTACACCTAAACTTATAAAAATACTACTTAGCAGCTTTAATACTCAAATACAATTTTCCTTGTATTGTCTGTTTTACAGGATTAATCTTTTTAAGTATTTGTGTCATTGTCTCCACAAGTCTTTCGTTTGCTACACCATTCTTTTTATTTTTGAATTTTGTAATCAATTCTCTTGCAGTCATTGGTTTGCGCATAAGGTAACGCCTTACAGCTTCTTCTGTTATGCCAAAGTCACTGAAAAAAAGTTTTTATAGTAAAAACATATCGCCGCTATACATTATAACTTACTCTTTTGCATTATTCATATTTACTACACCAGCAAAAGTTGGAGGTAAGGATGGAGTTTCCATTTTAAGTTTTTTAGCAGGAGTATTTATAGGACTATTACTATTATCAGACCCCGTCAAATCAGAAGGCATGTTATTGAATTTACGCTTATTAGCTTCTTGACTTGAAACAGCTGGAGAAGATCCGCGAGAATCTTTAGATATACCACTAGTTGAAGCTTCTTTTTTCTTTTTAGTTTTAGATTCCAAATCAGACTCACTACTGTCGGAAGAAAAATCAGAAGAAGAATCTTTCTTCTCATCTTTACTTTTCTTTTTGTTCTTTTTCTTCTTTTTATCTTTTGATTCTTTATCTTTATCTTTTCCTTCTTTCTTCTTCTCTTCGTCGTCTTCATCAGATTCCTCTGACTTTTTTTCTTCTTCCTCTTCACTTTCTGATGATTTCAACGCATCTTCTTCCCCAACGGATATTAATTCTTTTACGACTTTTGATTCTGGATCTGGTTCATCTTCACTAGAATCGGAAATGTAATCAAGTTCACGACCTTCTTCATCACCATTATCAGATTCCTCAAACGCTTCATCTTCCAAATCACGATCTTTTTTCTTTTTTTTATCAGTAGTTTTTTTCCCTTTTTTCTTGGAATTGCCTTCATCGTCACTGTCTTCCTTTTTTTTCTCTTTGTCTTCATCTTCCGATTCAGAATCTTCATCCGAATCTATCCATTCATCCATTTCACTAATTTGTAATTCTTTCGATTTTTTTGAACCACTGCCTTTAGCATTGACTTTTTCTTCTGGATCTTCAGGTTCATCATCCGCCTTTAATCGTCGACGCAACATCAACGAAAAATAATTCATTACCCTTCTTCTACGACCAAATTCTTGTTCAGCCTCCTCAGCAGATAATGATTTATAACGCTGAATTGGCTGAAAGTTATACCATTCATGCAAAGGATATGCTTCAATTGCTCCATCTGGAGCGTGGGTAAACACATAAAATGCAGCATTTTCACTTACACCACCTTCTCTAATCCCTTTGAATTTTTTACCAGATTTTCCCCCTACCTTTAAAATCCAAGGCTGCGCCTCTGGCTTATATCGTTTTGCGATTATTCCAAATTTTTTTCTCCGTACTTCCTCACGTAAATCACGATTATATTCAGATCCAGCTCCAAATTTAGGCATATCTTCATCCAATGTTTTAAATTCTTTCATGTTATTTTCTCTTTCCATACGAACAGCATTCCATTTGCCGAAATCAACATTTAATGTGGCGTTAAATCTCATAACATGATGTTTTTTCCTAGAATTTTTTGGGACTCGTATTTTGAACTCCTGCACATGAGCAACTGCCTGGGATGATCCCTTTAATAACAAAAAATCAACAATTTAAAAGAAGAATTTAATTTTATGTACCTGTGGTCGAGACGGGGTCATATTGTTTAAAATTACTTTTGAAACAATTTACTTAAAACTTTAGATATTTAATTTTGAATTAACTTTGATTGTTACTTTTAAAGAATATTTATTATTTTGTAGCATTAGGATAGTGCAAACGTTTTAATTGTTTTTTGATAAATCAGCTGAATGTGACATTTTGCAGTATGTTGCCAGCCTAGAAGAAAATGCCAACTAGGGTTTAGCGAGCTATTTATAGAATATACGTAAAATCTTAGGCTATTTCTTCTGTCTCACATTTGTTTTTTCGGAACTAAAATCCCATTAAATATCGTAAATTTGCTTATGCGAAGGTAGCAAAAGTGGTAGAGGGTTTTCATTTATTCAGTTCTAGAATAGTTCTAACTTGTAGTACGTTCGAAAATATACGCTACACACACTAAAAATATAGATCGTTCGGAAATTACTGGCTGCAATAAAATGCGTTCGGAAATTCAATCTGCAATAAAGAAATGTTAGAAATGTAGCGCAGACCTCTAGTATAAATTTTGTCGCTGCCTCATGAATTTTTTTTTCCTTTTTTAATTTAAAATTCAAAAAAAATTTTAAATTTCAAAATTGCAGATTCAGATATTAAATGGGTGTTAAAGTAAGTTTTCTTTAAGTCTTCAAATCTTGTTAAAATTTCCTTATTTGCATTGAACTCGAAGGCGAAAGGTATTGGGATATAATTTCATAAACAATGAGATTTATGTGATTTTCGAATGATAGATTATTTAGAAGTTTCAGAATCTGTAGACTGCGTAAACAAAAAAAACTTAGCTAAAGTTTTTGCCAACTGTTTAACGCTGAAACTTACAAATTTTAGTTCTAATGTAGAACTTTCAGCGCAGCGTGCATAAACGAAAACCCCCGTACTACAAAGTGCTATTTACTCAAGCTTTTCATTTACTTGCCATTTTGTTTACGAATCTTTTTGCGAAAGTCTAAGTTTTTGAAAAATAAAATTAAACTGAAGTGTTACATTTATTTTGTTTTATTAAATTACAAAAAATTCTTGCATTTCAAATTTATTGCATTTAACTAAATGTTATAATTCATAATTATAATTTTAGGTTATTAAATAATACAAAATCATCCCAGCTTACGAAAATGGTAAATTTTATGCATTATCCCATTTTTTCTTGATATCGCTCCTCTCCAGTTTAATTTTTGTAGGACTTAACTTTTCGTCTATAACCTTACAAATTTCTACTTTAAAAAAACTTAAGAAATGTTAAGAACAAAAAATTTTAGAAAATGCCGCGAATTTCCAAGTTTCGCATTTTTACATAGTTGGCCACCAGGCTTTTTCTTTTGAAGCAGTTTTGTTTGAAACTTCATGCGTAATGCAGTCATTTTACATTACGTATTTTCAAGTAATTTTTCTTGAATTCTTTTGAAACTATGAGTGCAACAGATTATCGAGAATGCACTTTATTTAATTCTCAATATTTTCTAGCTTGTCTCTGAGCGATCAGCCGTCACTTTATTTAATGAATTTGGTGATGTTCTCGGGAATCAAAGTGGGGTTCAATCTAAGTTACCGCAAGTCGTTAGTGCTGTCATTCGTCATTATTCATTACATACACTGAAATCAAATATTTTTTTAAATATAAAAATTTATATAAAATTAAAAAAATATGTAACAGGTTTTAACAATTGGCGAAGCGAATAACTTACTCAAATATGCGCCAAAATGAAGTCTTATATAAAGATGCCACAGACATCTACCTTATGGGACTTGCAGTACATTATAGGAGTTTATGGTATTGTACAAACTTTTTATTACATAGAAATTTTGTAAAGCACCTGTCGTTTCTTATGTTTTATCTTTCGTTATTATTTCTTTAAAATTTTACATCAAAATGTAATGAACATATGTATAGAAATACTAGGTCTGTTTGGTTTAAGAAAGTTTTTAAAAACTTTCAAAAACATTATAAAGTTCTTCCATGCAAAGCGTCTAGGACAATGTTGTTTGCTTCACTACAACTGTAGTTTTTTACTACATTTTGGCATTCTATACTATCATACTACTGCAAAGCCATTTTTACTACTTTTTTTAATTTATACTAGAAAATGTAGTTATTGCAATACTTAAGTTATAAATATAAAAATAAATAAAAATTAATAATATATATTATTAAAAAAAAATATACTTCGTTCCACCCCTTTGCAATACATATATTCTTATTATTTATTCTATTTTTTCTTTTTATAATTCATTACAAAATTCTGTTACAAACTTGTTCTTAAAATTAAAAAAGTTGCGAAAAAATATACGTTAATTGTTTTCATAAACGAAATCTGATTTGAAATCAATTTTAAACAAATAATCTATTTAGCCATGTTTGTCCAGATGCCTTATGTTTCATGATAATAATGTCTGCAAATTACTACTCTAGGGCTCTCGACACTAGTTTTTTTGAGACAAAGTGCTACTAAAAAACAAGATAAAAATAACAGCACTGTATACTACAATGTTCTTATTTTTAAAAATAATTTAACTTTATGAACAAAAATGAGAGGAAATGATGGCATTCTCATTTTCTAAATGTTTAAAGTTTTTCAAGTTTTGTAAAGTAAAATTTAGTGTTTCAAAAACTTTTGAAATCTTACAGCTGTCGAAACATACTATCCGCAAATTCTTTAACGTCAAAATTTTGATTTTAGTCTGCAAACTGTCTGAAACTAAAACTTTTACGGACAGAAATCTAGTAAACTTTTTACCCGTAATTGACTTTGAATTTTGATCATCCGTAAACGTCAAAACAAAAAAAAAATTTTTTTTAGATTTAAAATAATTTTATACTTACATATTAAAAATTAACAATAAAAATATTTTTTATATTATTTTTAACGTAATGATAGTCACTCAACACATCAAATTTATTTACTGAATTACTACGTCAGACTGTCTGCATGTAAAAAAAAAAATCTACAATTTTGACGCTTAATTGACTTTTTTTAAACGTTTAAGAATTTAAACTTTGACTGAGAGTAAAAACGTAGTAGAGTATCCGTAAACTCAGACAGCTCAGATTTTGTAAAATTTGACGTTTAAGAATTTACCATATGTTTTTCTTATTTGTGTCAGAAGGTTTTATTTTTAAAAAAAAAAGGATTCATCAACAATAACTTTATATGTATTCAAAAGACTTCAATTAAAAATAAAATAAAACAACCAAAATGGGTTCACAAATGGTTTTTTCTAAGTTTTACACTTTTATAATCCAAAATCAAAATTTTCGGTTTTTGGTGTCGGCAAAAAATATTAACGTAGTTTATGTTTAATAAATACTTTGAAATTTGACGTTTATCACATACTTACATAAAGTTTTTAAAAGTTTTTCCAAGTTTTATCTCAGACATAAAATATTTTCAAATAAAAATAAAATATTTTGATAAAATACATATTTGAAATGAAAATTTCTTAAACCCATATTGTTTACTTTTCATTCTGTAATCCACTTTCTTTTTAGCACCTTTCCAAAAAATTTTTGGAAAGTGCTTATTGGTTTTACTCTGCCCGTGCGTCCGTGTGTCCGTTAACAAAACTTCTACACCCTTGAAGATAGAAACTTGAAATTTTATACGCACATAGATCTTTACTAGATACTTATTTCCGTGGAAGAAAATTTTTCCCTATTGGAGCTCTGCTCTAATTAGGTACCAAATTTATGAAGTATTTTAAACTTCCATTGCCAGAGACCATTTTCCCAAGTGAACTCTGAAACATGCAATCCTTTTTATTCAGTTATGATAAACATTTTTGTGGTTTTTCCAGGCACCAAAAAAATTACAAAAAAAATTTGCAGAAATCAAATTTTTTATTTTACACAAAGAATTACTATATTTTTTTTTTAGTACAAATACCTATTTACCTACAATAATTATAAATGTTCACCTTGAAAATGCATTTTCCAATAAAAATAAATTCTTAACTTTGATTTAAAACATAAAATTAACAGATATTGTTTTAACACAACAATAGGAACATATTAAAATTAAATAATATTTAAAAACGCAAATGTTTTAAACTAGAGGTTTAAAAAGTAATAAATATCGTTTTTAGTGTTTCTTTTTGATTCTCCATGCGTTTAAATTGACTCTTGGAATTGCTTTACTATCACATCTAATTGGATAATTACTATGAAAGGAATAATTATTAAAACCTAATTTGTGAACTAATTTTTACGAGTTTAGTAATTTTTACCTTTTAACATCGGGCCTTACAAATGCTAGTGGTTGAATTTCATTTGTTATTAAATAATCCATATTGTCGCATATCAATGCAGCCATCGAAGTTTTACGAATTTCATTTAATTGAGCTAATGTAAAATGTCCAGGATTTATTTCCGGTCCATTTTCATAAAAGTATCTATCACCGTGTCGTACTCTTGAAAATTGGTCAGCTATAATTTCTGAGAACGTTGGACCAGAAATGCCACCTGATGTAATAATTGGCTCTAATAAACCGCCAATCCATAAATCAATATCATCAGGATGCTTATAAACTTTAGCCAGTCGTCTCGCCAACTGAAACAATATACCATTTTCAAAGAAAAATTCACATAATGATAAATAAAAAATTACTTCTGGATGAAAATCATCAAAACTAGTAACACGATTATGACCCATGACTTCAAGATAATCATTATATGGGCGAAGTCCTTCATCACGTCCTCTTTGAATGTTTAAAGAAGGGAGATCTAAACCGAATGGTTGGTCTCCACGGAATAAAAATCTACTTAGCTGTATCCACAAAAACAAGCAACATGTAAAAATTATAAAAGAACATTAATTAAAAAATTTGAAAATATAAATCCTAGGTAAAAAAAAAATAATTTTCGGAAAATTCAAAACATGTATTTCGTTTTACCCCGTGAGTAACAGCATTATCAAAATCTTGCATGGGCTGTCTAGTCATTCCTATCAACATTTCATCATAGAAAGTTTTCTGTCGCATTCTATCGACATTAAACATGATATCAGGAATTTCTATTTCTTCTCCAGATGGGCTCCTAAACACATGAAATACAAATTATTTGTCATAAAATTTTAAATGCATCTTAAACGAATCAGAAAAAAAGGAAAAAACATGTATTTATGTGTATATTTATACTTAATTCTTCCATCAACTGTTGAATGGCCAAATCTAAATGCAGCTCCTGTGAATTCATTTGTTACTCCTGGATTAACATCTTCGTTATAATCAGAATTATATCCTTGATGGCCTGTTAATAAGCTAAATCGTTCCATTATGTCAGTCCCAATGATAGCTGGTAAATACTCATTGAACGTAATATGTTGAAGCTCAGCAATGACTATTCTACGTGTTTCTTGAAAAATTTCTTCATCTGATAATTCAGGGTTAATGGCAGACAATATAGTTGCAATTCTATTATGTTCTCGATTAAATAGAATATGAACAGCAACTAAAGACGCAATTTGATTAACTCTGGTATCACCAGCTATAAAACAAGTTGCTCCGGGTTTAAGATCAGCACAAAATGGTTGCTCATTTGTTAACGGTAATATATCATGCTTTTTTTCCGTTAACATTCTCAGTTTCCCATCTCTAAATGTTCTTAATGATGCAGCAATTCTTTCATTAGAACCATAAATGGGTGAACCATCTAAATAATGTGTTACTTGTGATGCCTGTCTGCCATAACCAGCCATACATCCATTTGGTACCAGTGCTAATCTGACAAAATTCATACATCTTTGATTAAATTTTGAATAGAACTCATCATGTGGACTTATTGCAATAGGAAAACACGAATAATGTCTTTGTTCTTTTGGTAACATACTTGAACCATCTTCAGAACAACACTGAACATCCCTTCCATCTGGCATACGAATAGATCTGGATTGTGTTAAATCATGTGCTATAAATTGTCCAAATTGCATTAAAAATAAATTGAAATGCTTATGTGGACGATTGCTATTTGGCACCAAATTTCTAGAAATGTCTCGTGCACTTTTCAATTTACCGCCTTTAACGCTGAATTCCCTAGGTCTCCAAATACCATCAGCATAAGCTGGGCTTAATAATCTTTCCATATGAGAACCAGCTGAACCCCAACTAGCTCTATTTGGATGTGGATTATTACAGGTACCATCTATTGTTCGATATTTTGCATTTAAATCTGGACAATCTGGTGTTTTTTCATCGCACTGGCTATGACCAGGATATAAATTCACTTTAACTTGGGATTCCGCGAAAGCATAACTTGGGATATGATTTCTAGAAATTAGAAGTAAAAATTTAAGTCAATTTCAATAAATATAAAATATATTTTATTTTTACTTTTCTTTTAATACTTGGGTTGCAACAACTTGTTCTATTGCTAAATTTGATTGTGCTATCATTTCTTCTAAGTTTTCTTCAGGTTGATTGAACATGAAACCATGATAATAGCCTGGATGGCCAACTATTACTTTGGCAGTTTGACTAGTGCTTGCCATCATATCGGCAATCCGGGATCGAGCTTCCTTTATATAATTCAAACTATTATAATTCAAATTATAAATTTCCCGTTTAATTCGCGAATTGTTAAAACCTATTAAATTTCAATATGTAAGCAATATATTCAAAAATATATTAAATTTTTTTTGATCTATGCTCACTTGTATGGCTTTGACCTGTAGTACAACAAAAACCATGTTTCCCAAACGGTAAATTACATTTTAACGGTTTCTCTTCTGGTTTCATAAGCACATGTGCCGGACATTGAATTTGTGGAACACATCTCAGATTTTTAGGACAAATTTTGAAAAGTTTTTTCACAAATATTTTCGGTAAATCTAAAATCAAAAGGTCAGGTAATATATTTCATTTTTGAAAATTTAAAAATATGTTTGTACGTACCTATATGCTTACCATTTTTTTCTTTTAAAATATCATTTTCGATTTTCATTTCTATTAAACTTTCATTTTTAGAACATTTTATGACATTTAATAGTGAAAAACAAAATATTATTAGTAAAATTAATTTAAAATGTGCTGCTACCATTGTGAAAAAGCAAATGTATAGAAGTTTTAGCACGCCGTTTTTATTTCAGAAACTAAGTTATTTTTCAAAGCGTGAAAACATGTACCACTTTATAAGTGTTTAAAGACTGGATGTTAAAAGCAAACTGAGGAATCAGTATTCTCAAAAAATTTAAAAAACTTTTTAGACATATTTTATATCGTAAATTACGGTGTTTTTACAGATTGTTTAAGCAAAAAAGGAATAGAAGATCACATACACTCACACATACTCGTGTATTGGGCCTCGTGCAAAAAGCCGATATTATAAGTCCTGCATTTTAACATTATTATGGTAATCGAAAATAATTGCCGTCATTTAAGTTTGGAACACATAAGTAATTAATAATCGTAATGATTTTTGAGAGTGCTATGAACATACTCATTTATCAGAAATGGTAAAACTGCAGTTAAATATGATAAACCTATGTAAAAGCTAAACGAAGTGAATTGACAATTTTAACTTTTTTAAATAGCTAAGCAAAAAATAATCTAAAATCCAAATAAAACATTTAATGTTGATGAAAGCGTTTACAGATCTTGAGTGTGTTTCAAATTCGATCTACATACGTATGTACGTACACATGTATTTTATTTTGCATCACTGTTTTCTTTTAAAAGGATGCGTCATTGTAATACAGTTCATGTTTGATAAATATGTTACTGTGGCGATTCAGAATCACTGATACTTTTCTATTCTCATGAATAAACGCAACTCAGATTTACAACTTGTGAGCTGAATTGTATATGTTCGCAGGAATTACATAGGGATTACAGCAATTTTAAATCCTGGGATAAAACATTAGATACCTACATATATCTACTTAAAATTAAACGTAAATTGCAATAATTTTATTAAAGTATCAAATTAAAAATTGGTGGCTAAATCAAAAATTATTTTCTTTATTTTGTAACAATTGTGAAACGGGAAGGAATTTTGAATGAAAAGTGAGAATAATTTAATTTTCTAAAATATATCATCTCAATTTGGCTTTACGTTTTGATTGACGGGTTCCTTTTTTTTGTTTTTCTTCTTTTCCTTTCAAATTCTTGTTTTCTTTAATTTCAGACTCATCATTTTTTATTTTGCAGTCTATTAGTTCTCCCCCTTCAAAATCTAAATCAGTGGGTGTTTCTTTCAAATCCATTGGCTCTCCGTCAAATCTACAAAAACATTAAATTAGTTTTTTCATTAATAGAATTTTGGAAAAAGATGTGTAAATACATACATCAATGTAAAATTTTTAATATTGATTTTTAATTCTTCAGCTAGTTTGGCGCTTAGTATTGAAAAATTTTCATCTTTATTAATTGAAATTTCAACAATTTTTTTCCAATTATTCGATTGAACCTTTAAAACTATTCCGTTTTTGTCCTTTTTGCTGGGCGTATTATTGCAATTTGGGACAACTCGGCCCGTAATGATATCATAAAGTTTGTAATCAATGCTGTAAGGTGTGTCGTCTGGATTAATTATTTTATTTTCAATGTTGAAAAGAATATCATTTACAGAACAGTTTTCACGTTTGGCATAAATATTCATTAGATCAAAAAACTTTTGAAATTTTCTATGTTTCATTTTTTCAATTGCATTTTTCCATTGAATATTTATTATAATATTTTCTTTTTCCGTGTCTGATAAAAAACTAGAACATTTCTCAACTCGACCTGGGGAAATACACTCTAAGCTATCATCAATATCTATCTGGATCTAAAATTAAACGAAACTATGGGCAATTGTAATAGTACATTTGCAGATTTTACTAACAATGTTATTATTAACTTTTTTTTTGTTCTTGCCACGGGGTTCATCACATTTTGTTAAATCAACTTCAATTAAATTGTTTCTTTTAGATTTTCGGGAGCGAAGTGAAGACCTAAGAATTCTTTTTTCATTTGTAATGTCACCACTGAAAATGCATTCAGATGATTCTTCAAAATCTCCGCCTGATATTTCAATTTTATCACTTTTGGTCTTTTTTTTTTCTCTTGCAATTTTCTTACTGGATTCTGTTGATTCCTCTAAATCATCATCAGATAATTCAACTTCACAATATTTTGATGCTCTTTCAATCTGTTTTTCGATCGCATTTTCTGCTACAATAATAATAGTAAACACGGTAAAATAAGCAAACTAAATATGTACATATATGTAATTGTCTACTTACCATTACTACAAAATTTGTTTAGGCCATCTAAACAATCGTATTCAAAAGAATCCATTATTATTATGAAAATAATGCTTTAAAAAATAAATTTTTTTTTGTACGGCAGCTACTTAATTTCGCGTTCTCTCTATCTTTAAAAAAAAATTTGACATTAGCTACGCTTGAAACTTGTACAGCCTAACGGCTGTACAAAGTTAACGTATAGTTTAAGAATTGAATAAGCGTGTCATAATCAACGCAACCAGCCATCTTTAATGAATATGACGTCATCTTGAAGATACTTTTTTTTAAATTGTTAATGTATACGCAGTGATACAAGGAAGTCGATTTCAATTCGCCAAAAAAAAAAATTGTAAAAATAAATGCAATTATATACATATTTTAAATGAGGAGATTCAAAGTTAACATCAAAGTATATCTATTAAGAAGTGGTTCGACTCGTTCCATTCCGTTAACAAGTCCCAATACTCATTTTTTTTTTACGAAATATTACGAATTTTTGGCTTCGTTCCTGTTTTTTTCTTTAAATGCCACTGATGGTGTTATATTTCTTATTATATTTTTTCTTTTTTTTTTACGTAAAAAAGAGTTTAATATTTTAAAAAATCTCAGGATATTATACACATTTTTTAAAAAGCTTTCCATTTAAATTCTATTGCACGAAAAAGAAAGAAAAGTAAGAGGAAAGAAAAAATGAAAAAAAATTTCAAATTCATATTTCAGTATGGTTTTAAATGTTGATGAGGAAGGATGTATGATTTTTCATGCACATTTTGTATTTCCCAATAAGGTAATTTGAGTAGTGTCGGCTAATGAAAATGTTAATAAAAGTAACATAGGTTGACACATTTCAACAATTTGAATTATATCTCATTTCGGTTATTTATACGTTACTTATAAAGTTGTTTCAAATAATTTCAGTTAGTTATTAAAAATAAATATATATGTAACTACTTCCAATCAATTTTTTTTTTAAATAATTACTTTAATACTATTTCAAACATGTTATATTGAATGCTTCAAAAATTTTGTTGTGCTCTTCTTTCATATTTTATTAGCAGGTAAACAAGAGCAATCTATCTATAAAATAGCCCTGCCTATGTATGAATCTTAATAGTAAACGCAAACGGACACAAATTTACGGATATCAGTAGATACTACCTGTCATTTTACAATCGGAGTTTTTGAGTCATTTGCTAAGATACTATTTATTTCAAAAATAAAAAAGATATTCGAATCGGGTAATAAAAATGTATTATTGTCTTTTCCAAAAACCTTTCAAATATTTTTTTACTTAGGTAATATATTAAGTTTTAAAAATTTTTCTCAAAAGTAGAGGTAAAATTTAGAAGTGTGTATAAAATTTGTATTTAAAAAATAATATTTGATTGTATTTTAGATATTATTTTCTAATTCCCTCTTTAATTTTTTTGTTTACTATGTATTCATATCAATATTTAATAATTATCTTTCATTAATTATATTTTCAACTTGACACCACAGTTACTTCCCATATCTTAAGTTAGCTTACCCTATGAGAAAAAAAAGCTGTTCACTTAAAAATAATGAAATACTTTCAGTAACATATAAAACGTTGAAGGCGAAAGTTGTGCTTGTTGTTTTTCCGCTGTTTTAAACGTATTTCAAGAATTTTAAAATAATTATGAATGAAAATATTAATATATTTTCTTGATTTTTCAAATATATTTTCAAAATTTTACCTGCTTTATAATAAGTGTGAATTTATTTTAATATTTCTTCTCAAAAAATAGCCACTTCGATTTAAAAAAACCCATATAAAATAAGGTCGTGCTTTCAAGTTTCTCTCTTAGCATTGGAACTTGTTAGATATAAAGACATTACTCCAACTTATACGCCTAAATGTACTTATATGCTCATATATACATTTGTATAAATCTAAATATGTATACTTACCTTGACATTACAAAAAATCAAGGCTTGGACCCTGCTTTTTTGTGAATGCGTTTGTAAAATTACATATGTATTTTTGGCGAATTGACATTTCTTAAGAATAATTTTTTTTCTTGTTGTTTTTTGCTGTGAACTGTCACTCTCTCTTAAGATCCAGGTCTGTATTTCTGTCAGCCGTGATACTTAAACATTTATATTAACTCTATACATTTCTCTAAAGCCCATAAAAGGAAATTGAGAGTTGCCCTTTTTACGAGGTGGCCTTATACTTTTCAGGGCAGTGGACAATTTTTAAACTCTAAAACAATTTTAATTATTTTGTTGATTGCATTCAATAGACTACTTCTTGTTTATATATTTTTTTTTTCATAAAGGTTATTGTTTTCTGGGTCTATACAAAAATTACAAATAATCAACTGGATGCATTATTTTTTTTTTTAATTTTATTAATAATTTTTACATATAAAAGAATTCATATTTACTTAATTTATTTTTATATAAAAAAAGTTAAATTATTTCGGTTAATTCTCCTCATAAGTCAATATGTACATATGCGTATACATGTTTTGTCTTTACTATTTATAAAATTCTTAAATTATTTTAGTACTCAGTTCGAAAAAAATCATTTTGTTCCATAAAAAATTTCATAATTTATATATAAATTCTTATAATTATCAACATATGCGCATGTAAACTTTTACAAACTGAGTGCAATTTTTATTTAACGCATTCGTTTTGAATTGATGCTAGTTTTGTTGTTTAGATGTATTCGATTCTACGATTTAGCAGGAATTGCAAAATTAAAAATCGCATGTCTGCGCTTTTTAATAATATTTATAGCCTACTTTTAATAAAATTTGTAAATTTTAGGGCCCAGACGGACAAGCAATTTTTAATTTTGCATATTACTGTTAGATAAAATTACATGCTGTTTGATTGCTTAATTGCACGGAAACATATAATTGCATGTTTTTAAGTTACGTCTGTAACCTCAAATAAACTTAATGAGAAAGACTACACCTCGTTTCCGTCGTTTTTCTACTACAAACTTTAATAAAATTATTTTCATTTAAAATAAACATTTAAAAGTTCTTTCACATAAATTTAAATTTCGTAATTTTATTTTTCTTTTAATAATTTTGCACAATAGTGATTATTTTATTATAAATGTATGAATTTACCAAATTACATACTAAACAAAATATTACACACTTAAAATAAAAACTAATCAATTTATGCTTTCAATTAATACTTAATTAATTAGGTACTATTAATTAAATTAATGTAATCGAAACTTATTATTAAGGTTTGATTTAAGAACCTAAAATTTGTAAAGTTTGGTTTTATATAACGGTTATTGTAAAGAATGAAGCATAAATAAAAAGTGAAAACTACAGAATTTAAATTTTGTGTTTCATTTTTATTGTTTTAAAAGGTAAACATATCGAATACAAATAAGCAATCAAACAGTTGCAAAATTAAAAATTGCATATCTATCCAAGACCAAAGTGTTAAAGTTATGCCTTCTATTTATATATTCTATTTTTTTTATTTACTAAATAATTTTATAACTTTGAATTTTTATAAGAAAATAAACATTAAAAAATGTTGCAACATTTGATTTCAAACTTAACATTTATTAATTAGTTTAACAAAATACATGTGCTTATACATATTTAAACATTCAAGTATGACTAAAAATACCTTTGACATAAATCATAATACTTTCATAATATCAATTAAGGTGTTCACACAATACATCAATTATTTTGTCAAGATACTTTTTCGAATATTTGTACCCTAAATTTTACAAAGTTTTAGTTTATTAACTTATTTAAAGCACTTGTGGTTTATGAAACCTTTAATTTATTTGATTATATATATTTATATATAATTATTATATTTATATTATTTGGCTATAATTATATAACTGTAAACAAATTACTACAGCGGATTTCACCATTTTTAATGCCTTTTCTTGTTTCTAATATAGGTATCTATATATATAAGAGTGAACATTATAGATTGCATTATGTACTTATATAATAAATATTAAAATAATTTTATAATTTTGATACTAATAATATAAATATATGTATTATAATATTATTTGTAAGCTCTTCACACTGTTATAGAAAATCGACATCAACTCCTGAAGAGATACATTAGGTTGTCAAAAAGAAATTGGTGTTTTCATGTTTTGTTGGTTCTGAGCATACTTCTGTCGTCGCTATGTTTTTTTCTTTTTCATGGGTGTTGACTAAACATAAATTCTATTACAATTTATGCTATGTCTAGTGGAGACCCCTAATTTCCAGACATTTCTTCTGGCTAGACAGAAACTTTCAAAAAGTTAGACTTTATGCCCTGAGAGAAATGAAGACAGAAAATTGACATTTGGTTTGTCATTTCGAATAATTTTTATTTTTGAAAAATTAAAATAAAAAAATTTTTTGAAAATGAGTGAAATAATAGTGAATATGTTAATATATTAATAATATATTATTAATAAACTTATATAAAGATCAAGAACGCGTATTGAATTTGTAGCGACGCGAAGAAAAATATTAGGCACGTGAAACACCCCGTATGTAATTTTTAGTCTTTAAAGTAATGGTATTATAGTATGCATACATGTATGTACGTTCGTCGTTTTACAACCACATTTTAGTTTAATATGAGATGCAGTTATTCGAGAATTGATTCTCAATAACTGTATTGTATAACACGAAATGCTTCTGGTATTTTCTAAGAGAATTTGATCATTATTAACTTAATCAGCAAGGTAGAAGGTAGTGATAAAATAGATAAATAAGTTAAACCTAAAATTTATTTTAAATAATAATTGCTAAAATAATAATAGAAAAATATAAAATAAAAGAATTATTGAAATAAAAATAATAAAAATAAAAAGAATTAAATAACGTGTTTTTAATAAATAAAAAAAATAATAGATGCCGACGACGACCACATTGGTGACCCCGAGGTTTAAAATTCATGCAGCAAAATTTAAAATAATTTATAAATGTTAATAAAAAAATAAAAAATATATTAATGAAAACAATTGCTGGCGAATTTACGAAAATTTCAAATAGTTAAAAACAATAGATGGTCTCTGAAATAAAATATAAGTATGGATTAAAAAAATTACACGTGCTTTTTAAAAACAGCATAATATGATACACAAAGTGCACATACATGTATAGTGAACATTCTTAATAAGCTTAAAAATTTAAAAAAAAAATGTGTTAAGTTAAAATTCAAGCAAATATTTAAAAAAAAAAATTTTTCATTTATTCATTCCAAAAAAGAATAACAAATATAAAAAAAATTATAATCATATACAAATATAATATACAAATATAAATTAAAAATTATAAAATTTTATATAAAAATATAAAAAACTAACCAGAAAAACAAAAATAAATAAATAACACTAAAAATTAATTTTAATTTACAATATAAAATAATTAACCTAATACTACAACACAAACAATTATAATATACAAGTGCACATGAGTACAAATTAAAATACTTAAATCTAATCTAATATGTTATAAATATAAAATAAACCCTAGTACCTGCCTTGCATAATTTACAAAATTGTTTATACCTCATCATATGTTCATTAAAAAAAAAAATAATAATAAATAATTTTCGAATATACAGCACATAGCATATATATGGTAATTGTACCATCACTCAAATGTGGTACAAAAGATAACTATACATATGTATATTGTACAAAAAGCAAAATATGTACAAATGAAGCATCACATGAAATAAGGAGGTTTTCACAAGCTACAACTCATCAAAAACAAAATCATCTCAAAATAAAAGATCGACATCATCACTACCAACAGAAAGGTGTTTGCCGTCGGCATTCTTCAACACACAAAATAAAGAACAGGAAAGTAAAAGAAAGACTTCACAGTATGTAATATTTACTAAAATACAGATTATTTTTGTTTAAAAAAAAAAAAAACATTGCAAAAAATTAATTAGATAAATAATTAAGTTTTTTTTTTTTCTCTGTAAAATTAAATCAATAATAAGTATTCTTTGTTTTTTTTTTTCTTCTTTCTAAAAACTAAGTAAACAAACAATAAACATTTAATATAAATAGCATTCTTAAAAATATCAATTTTTAAAAAAAAAAGAAAATAAGTAAATTTTGAATATTAGTTTTTTTTGTTCTTAAAAAAATAGTTTTTAATCGTTTTTAAAATATTACTTAAATTTAAAAAGAAAAAGCAGAGATAAATTACAAAAATTAGTTTTGTTTTTCCTTTTTCAATCATATTAAAAATACCTTGCACATTTATTTAAAATAAAACTACATATGTAAAATTGCATTTCATATTAACTAATAATAATATATGTTTTTGTTGGGTTGTTATTACAACAACAACACAACATATAGTATAATACATATATATTTATTTTTTTTTGTTCGGGTAAATACAATTGTTTAAAAAAAAAAATTTTTTTTTTTGAAAAATATCGGAATCGTGCATACAAGTATCCATAACAAATAGTAGATACGATTCTCCACATTTGCATACATACATACATAATCATATAATTTTGGGTTGCTACAATTCTACATATTAACTTATTATATTATATTGACATACACGCATTATTATTATTTGAAATTAAATGATAATAATACATATCTTATCCCTCAGCATTTTAGAGTGACCAGCTAATTTTTTTTTTACAAAAATTTAAAAAAAATATCCCGAATTAGAGTGACCACTTACCCAAAAAAATTTAAGTTTTTTTTTTTTTCTCTAGATTTAGAGTGAGTTGTTTTTTGAAATTTTTTTTTTTTTTTGTTAATTTAAAAGATATTAATTTTATTAATTTTTAATAGTTGCTATTAATAATAGACATTTAAAAACTTATCTTTAGGCATTTTTATCGCTACTTTATTTTTTTTTGTCCTTTTCTCTCCTGGTAGATTTTTAATGGCAGATTCTGATTCGGATAGTGGCTCGGTTAAGGAGAATCCAGACTTCAAACCCAAACCCGGTATAATCGAACCCATGCACGCGCGTCTCCCTGCTTACTGGCCCAAATCGATCGGTACGTGGTTTAAACCAGTCGAGGCCTCTTTCGCAATAAATCGAATTAGCTCAGATCTCAGTAAATACAATTATGTTGTAGCAGCGTTGTCACAAGATGTTGCCGAGTCAATCATGGATGTATTGGAGGATCCCCCAGACAACAACCTGTATAATAATTTAAAGGAAGTATTGACGAGCAGACATTCCATGAGTTTGGAGAGAAGAATTAAGAAATTAATATCGGACGAAGGACAAAATTCCTTATTATAAAGGAAATAATTTAAAAAACAAGGTTTGGAAGGATATCGCCTCAAATTAAAGATTAAATGTTGAAGACATGAAAAAAAAAATAAAATTGTTGCGTTCATCATATGTTGCAGAGAAGAAAGCACGAAACGATTCAATTATATGAGAGATATATATGAGCCAAATTTACTTGAATTTGCTCATTTTCAATTTTAAGATGAAGCAATTGTTTTAAGAAAAAGGGCACTAATATGAAAGAGGTTTGTATTAATTTGGTTAATACCAGGTTAATATTTGTAAACGGGCTCATCTTTAGTTTTACAAATAAAGCTAAAAGAAATGCGTCTTATACGCCTATTTTGGAACAACTTCAATATGTCAGGGAGGAGATAACAGATTAAAAAGAAGATAAGAAGTTATGCTTAAAGAATGGAGTCATGCTGAAGAACCATCGCTTGAAAATGAATCCATACTTACTGAATGCTAACAAAATTCAAGGAAAAGCGGAACGCAAACTTATACAAGGGAGTATTGATTCTAAACATGCAGAATTGTCATTAACACCTTGCTTTCGTATACTACGCATTTGAAGTTGTCCTGGATTTACAAAGAAATGGGGGCTTCCGACGATGATTTTAATAGGCTACTAATGAAAATAAAGACTGGCGAGAAATCCAGCAAAATAAGAAAAAGAATGATTTTAAATACTAAACTCAATTTGTTAAATATATTAACAAATTGAGACGTCTGGGAACTTCACGGAATGATCTTTGAAGCACATCCCATCGAGAACTTAGTAGTTAATAAATCGTCTTACAGGTTTAGCACGAAGGAAATGGATCTTCTCAACAAAGGACTAAAATACGCAATCTCACCCAAACGAACTGATAAGGAAGATATCGTAGCAGATGTTAAGACAGCCATAAGAGGAACAGATAATGGAGTCAAGGAGAACATTAGGAAAGAAGTATACAAAATGCTAAGAGAAAGCAAAAATACCAACAGCAACGTAGATAACGAAATCAAAAGTGAACATGCAACGGTGAAAAGTTTGAATGAAAAGCCAGTGCATTACATAAAAGCAGACAAGGGAAACACTATCGTTATTATGAACAAGGACGATTACGATGAAAAGATCTTGGATAGACTTAACAACGGAAATTTTAAAAAAATTAGAAGCAACCGTTTGAAGAAATCAGCAATGAAGGTTAAAAAAGCTTTAAAGGAATGCAAGTTTCTGGACTTCAACATCAAAAACTTGACTATGTCGAATCCATCGGTTCCTACCAAAAATTATTTAAGGAAGGTGAGCAGTTCAGGAAGATAATTTCCGCTAACGACGCAAACAGGAGAAACAGAAAATTGGAGCAACAAAGTAAAAGAATACCACAAGTTAGCAAGACTTTGCATGGAGGAGAATTACTTCGAGTTTAGAAACGAGATGTACAGAACAACGTCGGGAGTATCGATTGGCAACCCACTTTCACCATTTATCGCAGAATTGATTATGTCCAAATTGGAAAAAAGTATGGAGGTGGATTGTCTGCTGACTAGATTATGGATGCGGCATGTTGATAACGTCTTCGCGATAGCGGACAAGGAAGAAGTGTAGAATATAAACAGATGTATCAACAAATTACATAGAACCTTTGAATTTACATTCGAAATTGAGGAAAATGGAGTGTTACCTTTTTTGGATATACTAGTGAAAAGAAAATCAGAGAAAATTGGATTCAAGATATATAGGAAGAAAACAACAACACAAAGATGTATCCAAAGGACTCGTACCATTCAACGAAACAAAATGGCGGCGCTTAACTCTATGATTAACAAGTAAACTTCATTTTGGACACGGCTGTGAAGAACGGTTATTCTGTTGAATGTATTAAAAAACTCAACAGGAAGAAAAAACGAAAAATTGAGCAGATGATTGTTTAAACAGAACAGGATATTGGAAGAACAAAGAACAACATGAGCATCTTTAATTTATGATCATCACTGTACAAACTTGATAAATAAACAACTAAGGAAACACAATATTCGTACATTGGAGACCAATAGTAAATATCAACTTAGGAACTTTTTAAATTCGGCTAATTTAATTAAAATTAGGATAAATTGAAGTTACATGAAAGATCTGGTGTGTACAAAATCAATTGCAATAATTGCGACAAATTTTACATAGGACAAACGAAGAGACCCGTTACAATAAGACTTAAGGAACATTTAAGTGAAATAAAACGTGCAAGGAGAATAGGATTTAACAGGAATTTCGATTGTACGAGTATGATTGCAAAACACATTTATGAAACGGATCACATAATTACGGAAGATAACTTAAAGGCATTAAGAGAGGTAAAAGCAAAACACAGGAGAGAAGTTCATGAAAGCATGCAGATATATAAATCAAACAAGGCTGCCTACTGAACACGGACGAAGGTAACGCGGCTACTTGGCTCTTTAAATTAATTACTTGGCCAGTTTTAAACAAGTATAATTTTAGTTTGTAACTAATAACAAAAAAAAAGAAATAATTAAATTTTAGATTAAGTCAGGTATAATATTTCTAATTTTAATAGATTAATTAGAATAAGATTTAATTAGAAGAAAATCAGCTTTGATAAAGTGTGTTTGTAGCGTACGAAATATATTAGCAAAAATAAAAAGTATTTTATTCCGAATAAAAGGGAGTTTTCTTTTCATAGACTTAAAAAAAAGATAAGAAGTCTTTAAAGTCAATTTTTCTGGGAAATTATCAAAAAGAACAAACGATCGCAGTGTACAAAGTTTATCAAATTAAATATTTCACAAGTAATTTTTAACAATGTTAATATATAGTTACATTTCCACTCACTCAAAATACTGGAAATCCTAACAATGCTAATAATACAAATATCGTTCTTTTAGATTACCCACTAAAATTGTAACAACTAAATAACAAGGTCAATCGTCACTATCTTTCTTTTTATTTTTTTTTTCTTTTATTAATTTTTTTTGAGCTATCATACTTCCAAACAAAGTTTATTACTTAAAACATTAATGTGAACGAACGATCACATATTTGTTCGACCACTTAAAATCGTTTATGTTGCAGTTCATTTTTTTTATTATTCAGCGCAAATGAAGCGAGTTATTTTCATGTTCCTGTGCCCATTAGTGAATTAAGTATTTTTAACAATGAGGTAAGAAGTTTTGGATTGTATAATTATACCGAACGGTTGTAATAAATTTTGTTCCTAGTGAAAATTTAAATAATTCTTTTTTTGTTGTTTTCAGTAAAAAAACATTTAGAAACAATATGCAAAATAAACATTTTTTTTTTTATTTGAAAACATCAATTCCAATTTCTATTAAAGAATTAAAGTAAAATATAGATAAAAACCCGCGTGTGTATATGTATATATGCACACACTGGTGTTACGTGTTCTAACTGCATAAAATCACATGGTTAGAACTGCACCTATTGACAATGAAAAAAAAAATCAAGTGACTATGTTGAGATCTTTCTCACAAAAGGTTCTACACTCCTGACTTGATTTTTAAATTATTGAAAAACACTTTCTTGAATATTATCATACTCTCTTAAACTTGGCTTAATTATGTATATTTAAATTACCTACATAATGATTCACTTACACATTAGTAATTTAGTTTAATTTCGAAAAATGAATTAACTGTAAAATTCATTTTTCTCTCATTATAATATGTATAAATGATTTGAAATTCTATACTTATATTTCTATTCGATAAATGGTCACAGTGCAGTTAAGTTGATTTAAAATAAGCATGTGTTTTTTTTTTAAGTTTAATAAAAATAATTATAAGAGTAACTAACTTGAACTTTAAAAATAAGTTGTGTATAAAAATAATAATTATAAATGAATTAATAATTAAAATAAGTAAGATGTGATAATAATAATTATAAATGAATAAATAATTTAACAAATAAATAATAATACAAAAATTATATTCAAAATTTAAAATATTGTGTTTTAATAAAATCAGAACACAAAATGGTCTTCTTGTTTAAATAACCAGGAAGCCATAACTACTTATTGTAAAGTAAAAACATCCATTATGGATAAAAATCTAATTTCTGCTAGAAAATTGTCAAATAAAAACAAAAAAATACAAAACCTATCACTCGATATTGCAAAGTGAAAATGCTGCTAAACCTTCAAATCGTGTTGAAATACTCGAAGAAATGGAAACTGAGAGAAATTGAATTATGTGATAACACAAAAGACTGTGAATCGGCACATGACGACAACATTGATTTTATAGAGGTACTCAAAAAACAGTTCAACAACAGTCCACAGCACGTGTAAATAATAAAATTAATGTTAATACAAATCAATTGACAACACATGTAAATACTAAACCTAATGTAAATACAAATTCGCAAAAATCTTCAATTAAAAAACTTCCACCAATAATAATTACTGCAGTAAATATAAACACCATAAAAAAATTAATTAAACTTCAATTGAAAATTGATAATTTTATAATTAAATCCAACAATAAGTATAAACACGTTTTATATACACAAAGCATGCAAGAATACAAAATTATATTTGATATACTGAGGCAAACAAATGTACAATGTTTTTCATATACAAATAAAATCGACAAACCGATAAATCTCGTGTTAAAAGGTTTACATGGCGATTACGAGCCTGAAATAATACTAAAACTACTAAAAGAATTGAATATTGAAAAATTAAAAAAAGGAAAAAATTAAAAAAAAATCAATTGTTCAGTGCACTCGCTGTCAAAGATTCAACCACTCTTCATTCAACTGCAACATGCTACCTAGGTGCGTGAAATGTGGACAAAATCATAGTGCAACTTTATGTGAAGTAAAAAAGAACAACCCTGCTGAGTCATCTTATCGACAGTGCCCAATTTACAAAAAGAGACAAGAACAAATTGAGATAAGTTAACAAAAAAACAAAAAAATCATATTAAGAAAATTAATGTTATTGATAAATTTATTAATCCTAATATTTCTTTTACTAATGTAGTAACAAATAGTAAAAATATAATCGATAATAGTTTGAATAATGATGTAAATTTTAATACTAATAAACGTTCATATCCTATTGATATATCTAGAAACAAATTAAATGATATAGGCAATTTACTAACCATATTAGATCAACTCAATAAAAACGTAACTTTACTTTGTGAAAATTATAATAGATTAGAAAACGAAATTAAAAATCAATCTTCCAGAATTGAAAAAAAATTTAAAAAACTTAATAAATAATAATGATCTAGGAAGACAAAACATAAAATTTGTTTCCATAAATGTAAATTCAAGTCGTTCCATGGGTAGGCAGTTTTCACTGCTTGACTTTTTGAACAATATCAACCCAGATATAACAACTCTTTGTGAAACCAAGCTGAGTTCAAATCAAAAAATAACTTTAAAGGGTTTATAATATTATACGAAGTGATAGAACAGGAGAAAATATAGGAGGGGGGACAGCTACCTTGATTAGGAAAAACATTAAATATGAAATTGTTTCTTTACATAATCTTAATAATAATAATTGTTTAGGAGATTGTGTAATAAAAATTCAAATACAAAACAGAAAGTTATTGTACATTGTAGCAATGTATGCTTCATTTAGAAATGACCATCTGTTTCAAGTTGAATTCATGAAACTCTCAACCTTGGCAGCGCCAATGTTTACTATATCTTGGTAGGAGACTTAAACGCCAAACATTCTTCTTGGTGCAATTAAAAACAGAATTCTAGGGGTATTTTTAAATAAATTTTTACATGAAAACAGTATACAATATAAAAGTACTTTATATTCCTCCATAATACCATCGTACACTAGGAATAATTCTTTCCTAGATGTAATTATAACTGATTGTAGAATATTTCTTAAGACAATAGACAACAAACTAGAGTCCTTGATTTACGATAGTGACCATTTGGCAATTTATACAGAGATACTCTCTATAGATGACGAAAACTGCATGTTTGACTTACCATCTAACAAAAAGTTATTTATGTATAAAAAAGCGAAATGGAAGCTTTTTAAAGGATACATAACGAATGAAATCAGGTTGGATGAAGAACTTCAATGTCTACCTAATAACAGAAATTTATCAAAAATTTAAATAGACAATTTTCTGGAAAAAATCATTTTAATAATAAAAAATGCAATGAATAATTCTATACCAAAATATACAAATAAACACAATGGTGTTGAAAGGTATTCCAACCCAATTATAGAAAGATTAAGGAAATATAAAAGTCAACTCCTCTCAACTAAATTTAGACTGTTGAAATCTAATTCCAATGGAAATGTT